GTTTTCTAAAACAAAAACAGTTACAATATGGAACTCAATGTTGAGGCATATATATATATATATGGAGAATAGCGAATTTAGAAAGGTGAAAGGCAAGGGCAATGCCTCACATATTTGGAAAAGCATCCTCTACCATAGGATATCAGATTGGTGCCCCACATGCACATCTCAGCATGCATTGGAAACATCTCTATATTCCTTATGGGGAGATGTTTCTAATTAGGGGTGGATTCAAGCCAAGCCGAGCTGAATAGTATAAGGCTTGAGCTCGATTTTGGGAAAAAATATTTTATAAAAATAAAAAAATTATATATAAAAATATTTTTTATTTGATATTTAAAAATTAAGAATTATAATAATTAATAATTATAATATTTTTATTATATATATTATTTTCTATAATTTTATTATATATTAAATATATATATATATTCGAGCCGGCTCGCAAGCCTCATGAGTTGAGCTCTAATAGGCTCGAGCTTAGCTCATTTCGTAATCAAGCTAGTGAATTGGGCTCGAGCTTGGTTGAAACTAAGCCGAGTTGAGCTTTTCACGAGCCAAGCTCGAGTAGCTCGTGAAAAGCTCTACTCGTTGCCACCCCTATTCCTAATACATGGGTGGGAGGTGCCGTGGGGTGCCTTCTTTTTTTTTTCTTGATATCTTTTTGAAGGGCTACACAACCAATTTACACTTGCGCCCCACAACATATCCCAACCATGTATTGGGAACATCTCCCGAATTTACACTTCGGGAGATGTTCCCAATTAGACCTGTTCATGGGCCGGCCCGACCCTCGGACGGGCTTGAGTATGCGTTTTAGCCCGTGGGCTTGACCTCGTGCCTAAAAGCCCGAGCTCGACTATTTTACGGGCCATGCTCAGGATTTGTTAAAAAAGCCTAGCCCAAGCCCGGCTTGGCCCAACTTTTATATAAGAAACCCTAAATTCCTAAACTACTTAACCCTATCCCTAAATTCTTAAAACTTTTCTTTTCATTCTCCTTTCTCACTCTCACTCTCAGAAGCGGCTCTCATTTCTCCCTCTCAACTCTTAGAACCGGCAAACTCAACTGCACCTGCGAACTCAGGCACCGGCAGCCGGTGCCACCAGAACTAGTCATCTCCCTCTTTGGCGGTGATCTCTCTCTCTCTCTCTCTCCAGTCGGCACCGTTTTCATCTTCTTTCTTCTCATTCTCAGTTCTCTCTCTTCTTAGAACTAGGTCTTCTATCTTCTCAGTTCTCTCTCCAACCGACGCCACCAGAACCCAAGCACACCATTTTCATTCTGCAAACTCAGGCACCTGCAGCTGGCGCCACCAAATCTAGATCATCTCTCTCTAGCAATGAGCTCTCTTTCTCTCTCTCTCTCTCTCTGGCTGGTACTATTGTCATCTTCTATCTTCTCACTTTCTTGGTTTCTATTCTCACTCTCAGACTCCCAAGAATTGGCGAACTCAGAAGGCACCGTTCTCTCAATCTCAGAGGGCACCGACGCTCAGACTCTCAGGTCGGGCTTCGGGCTTTTTATGAAGGCCGGGCTCGGGCCCAAGTTTTACACCCATTGGTTGGGCTGGTTTCGGGCTCGGGCATGAAAAATTTATGTTAATGAAGACCCATGAACAAGTCTATTCTCAATGCATGTTGAGATATTTATGTGGGGCGTTTATGGGGCGTAGATGTAATCTCTTACACAACAGGGGTAGCCTATCCCCCAACCCATACCCCCCAACCTAGGTTTAGGCAGAATTCGATTCCAAGTCGCCGCTGTGACTAACAAGAAACCTTATTAACCAACTGATTGGCACCTTGCATGGGTGCCGTCCCTGGGGCGCCAATCTGATCTCCTATTGTAGAGTATTCCCAAGCAAAGGATCTATTGGGTTGTGGGTGATGGGTCTAAAATTCAGGCAACTGTAAACCCGTGGATTCTTCTTTTAAAAGACTCTGCCCAGTTGAATGCAAAGAGAGTTGAAAAAGGGTTGAAAGTTGAAGCCTTGTTGGTTGATAACCTGAAATGGAAAGAGTCATGGATGCATTTGAGAGAGATAGATGAGTGCGATCCAAGTGTATGAGATACATAGAGTGGTAGTCTCTAAATGGTCATTTATGCATAAATTAGAATTTAATTAGGTGGGACCTTAATTTACTAATATTTTAAGAATTATAGGAAGAGGATGCTTGGTGCACTCAAGGCTGGGGCACACCAATCACCACAGGACAATTACTCATCCGTACTCAGGCAATTGCAGAGTGCAAAAAGGCTTTGGTGTTCTAATTATGTTGGTTGAAATAATCTTTCAAGCTTCAAAGTAGTTTGCCACGTGGAAGATTCCCAGTTGTTTGAACTTTGAAGAGAAGCTCACTTATTGTAGGTAATGGACATAAAAGCATCTTTATTCAAAATTTGCCAAAAACCACAAAACAAATTTATAAGTCATTGAGGTCAATGGGCTTGTCCGCGCTATAGTTTGTGACTCATTCCTTTGTCATTTCAGGAAATTGGCCCAAGCCCCATCCGCCATTGAACATATGAAGACAAAAGGAAATTCAAAAAATAGGGTAAATCACTTGGATCTTTCATGGGTTTTGTAAAAAGGCCTTACTTTTTCTCAACTTTGACCTGACCTTAAACCTCCTTTATCTTATAGGCTTCATTTACTTTTTTTGGTAATTTATTTATTTAGATAAATATAATTATTTGGGTAAGCTTTTTTAGAAAATACTTACCCAGGTAAGTATATTTATTCATATTATTTTATTTTTTATGTAAAAAGGAAATGATCATTTTATCTATATAAATCCATTATTAAAAGGGGCATTTTTATCCCATTCAAGTGTTGGAAACTTTATCCCCAGGTGGGAAAGTTATTTAGCTGCCTAGAAGATGGGTAAGTGATACCTAGGAAAATAAAATTTCCCTGGTCCCCACATTAATATGAAAAAAAAAAAACATGGGGTTCTTGGTTAATGGGAACCAAAATGCCATTGACCTATTTTCCTCCCCTCTCAAAATCCAAAAAAGCTTAGGGATAGAGGGATTTATAGATTCCTTTCATTACAAAATGGATGGGAAATCTTCCAATTAAGTTTGTAAATCTTTTCTAATTCCAACTTTACCCTTGAAATGTTATGACAAGTAAATATGTTTTAGTATTTCATTTTTTTACTGCATAAACAAACATGTTTGCAAACATGTTTTGTGGTAAAGAGAGGTATAAGGTTTTTTTCTTAAAGATTTAAGGTATTTTTTTGGTTAAAGATTCAAAGGTATTTCATTCATCAAACATTTGATGATTTTACATAAAGGCAAAATTGGCATTATGATATTTTTAAATCCATGATATTAGTGATTATTGTTGGATTTCTAACACTAAAGTAACAAAAAGGATTTATAAGTCTTTTTATCCCCAAAAGTCAGGGGAGGTTTAAGGGCATGTCAAAGACTCAAAGTTGAGGGCAGTTAAAGGCCTTTCCAAAAACCCGGGGGAGATTTAAGAGATTTACCCAAAAAAATATATTATATGTGTATTAATTAAGTAAAATTAACAAATAGGTACCTGTATTTTGGGAGCGGTGACACTTAATGGCCTCAACTTTTAAGTGTGTCAACTAAATATCCTGAACTATCAAAAATCAATAAGAATTCATCAGATTTTCAAGATTATGATTTGAATTCGAATTCAAATGTCTTATTGAATATCTGATTTCATTTGGATTGTAGTAAAAAAAAACTTGACTACATAATATAAATAATATATTATAATATACAATGATATAAATATCATATAATATATATATTTCATAACTAATAAATAGGATTGGGGTATATTCAAATTCGATCTATTAACTAAATAGATCGAATTCATATTCGAATCAGATCTCACCCAACCTATTTGCAGCCATATCAATACCCAAGTCCAGTCTTTAGCATTTCATCAGTTATCGGTACCATGTGATGTTATGTATCCCTTGAAATATTTTAAAATACCAAAACTACCCATCGAAACTGTTCCATAAGCCGTTCTTTCGTATTCGACCAAACTGATATTATGTCAAATTGTCAACCACTTAACAAATTGATTATCAGAATTGCATAAAAGGAGTTTAAAATGGGGAGTTTGATAATTTTACCACTCACCGTGGCATTCTTTACCAGTACTGGACTTGAGTTTTGAAAGTTTAGGTTATGTTTGGTTCGAAGGAAAAGGTAGTGAAAGGAAGTTTCTCTATCTTTTCCTTCCTTTCCCTATGTTTTCTTACAAACCAAACACCTTAAGGTATTTCCTTGGTGCACCTGAAATTTTGGAAGCACTTAAGTGTCACTAACCCCACAATACAGGTACTTATATGTAATTTTTTCCAAGGCTACGTTTGGAAACGATACAAGTGTGAATGAAAATATGTAGAGTGTAAAACGGTTCATATAAATTGTAAAATTGAGTTAGTAGTTTTGCACTGACAAATTTACCTTCTTACCAAGTAAACTTTTATCTGTAATGGAAGCAAACATGAATTTCAATAAAACATATATATATATATATTTTTTTTTTATCAAAGGCCCACTCGAATGCAAATTTACTTTTTTTTTAATCGAATTACTCATACATCTTATTATCAATATAAATATGCATTGGTCTGTCATTTGTCAATACATAAATGCAATGTTACCAAACACAGACAAAAGTGAATCAGGGTACAAATTTACCCTGAACCAGGATTTACACTCCATTTGCATCATTTCCAAACGCAGAGTAATTTTATGCATGGTCACTAATCACTATTGGATTTGGGTTTGGGCCATTTGCATCTTCAACAGTTCGAGCTGAGGACCCCATCTATAAGAGTGCCACGTGGAGGCTGCTAATGGAACAATAAGTATGACGTTTGATGACGGCCCATGGGCCATGGCCCACATTCTCAACATAAATAATGAAGACATATGAAAGCAAAATTAAAAAAAAAAAACGAAGGCCCCAACTCGTCCAACTCGTCTCCCTCCAAGCCCAAGGCTCCAACACGAACAGAACCCCGTTATTTGAAGTATCCAACAATTTCCATTGCCCGCCATCTTCGACCAACCAACTCAGACTCCATTCCCTCTCTCCAATTGTGATCAAACCACCTTCTCTTTCACGTCTACCTCTCTCTCCTCTGCACTATAAATATTGAGTAAACCTACAATAGCAGCAGCAACCAAACTTATCAATCCTTTCTCCCTCTCTCTCTCTCTCTTTGTCTCTCCCTAGATCTCTGTTGTTGTTGTTATCATCTTAGTTTGATAGAAAGCGGATGGGAGATGACAACATCAACCTTCCTCCTGGCTTTCGATTTCGCCCGACTGATGAAGAACTGGTTCATTTTCTCTATAGGAAGGCAGCACTCTCACCATGTCAACCAGATTTTATTCCAGATCTCGAGCTTTATCCTTATGATCCATGGGAACTCAGTGGTTCGAAATCTAATCTTCTTTTTTTCTCTTTTGTAGTTTGTGAAGAAGTGACTTCCGTAGCTTTATCCACATACGTTTCTTTTACTCATTTTTCTTCCTTTTGCATTTGGACTGTGCAGGCAAGGCACTGGAGGGGGATAACCAGTGGTATTTCTTCAGCCGAAGAACTTCAAATCGGATTTCTGAAAATGGGTATTGGAATCCTTTGGGTGTTGATGAGCCTATCTTCACCGGTGCCAGAAATATAGCGGGTATGAAGAAGCTTCTCGTCTTCTACCTCGGCGAAGCACCGGAGGGAGACAAGACCAATTGGATGATGCAGGAGTACCGTCTCTCAGACTCTGGTTCTAGTAGTAGTCGGTCCTCAAGAAAAAAAGGAAGCTCAAAAAGGGTAAGTTGCTGATCATGCATCCAAAGGTGAATTTTCATTAGTTCTCTGTAAGTGAATTTCATCATTCAATGTACAGAAATTGGAAAATTAGTAAGTGGGTACTGGTTTACTTCATTCAGGATTTGACTGCATGGGTCATTTGCCGAGTCTACCAGAGGAATGATGATGATGATGATGATACTGGTATAGAGCTTTCATGCTTAGATGAAGTTTTCCTGTCATTTGATGATCTTGACGAAATAAGCTTACCAAATTAGACCAAAAGAATTGATCTAAATTGGCAATTGTAAGGCTTCAATTGATTGTGATATCCACAGATATTATATTCTTAGTAAAAACAGTATGTAGGAAAATTTGAAATCAGTTATAGTTATTTTCTTCCTTTTATATGTTGATGATGGGAGGTTTTCACGTGCTTGGCTTATTGGAGAGAAGAAGGATAAACGTGGGAAAGAGTGGAGCCCAAGCAGCACTGTTACAGGGCTTGCTGTGCTTTGAGCAATCGTTCTTGGCTTTTGGCTTTTCTTTTTGGGTTTATGCTTTGATGGTCCTTGGTGGCTGTCTAGTGTCACCAAGCTAAGGAACAATTTTTTTATGGGTGCCTGCTTAGGCTAGCATTTCGTCATGCATGTTGTAAGCTTTCACACTTGAAGTAGGATCACCCATGTCTATAATGGACATATATGATTACCAAAGTGTCCCTGTTCTATTGTTAAAGGTCCTCAATTCTTAGGGTCCGTTTGGTTCGCATGCAGTTGGAATTAGAATCAGAATTGGAATTGAAATCTTTCGGAATTTGAATTAATATGGTCTATTCCCATAGTCTGTATGGTTCAGACAGGAATCGGAATGGGAATTTAAATCAATTGGAATGGGATTTTATGTTCAAGAGAGGGAGAGGGAATAGCCATTCCCTCAAATGAGAGAATGTCATTCCACTAAGAATGAGAATGGGATTCCGACTCCGCCCAACCACACAGTTAAAACTGGGTCAAATTCCAAACTCTTATTCCCAAAAAGCCAAACAGAACGTAAGTGTAACAACAATTTCCTCAGATCATCAAATGGCTAACTTGCTTAGAGGCATTCTTTCCTAGGTCTTGTTGCTCTTGTATTGGAAAATGGCTCACAAATCCTACCAGTCAAATGTTCAATTAAGAAATTAGGCTATGTTTGGTTTGAAGGAAAATGTAGGAAAAAATATCAAAACCTATACAAAGTTTATAAAGGTTTCTTGCCTTTCCTTTCTTTTTCCTATTTTTCCTTCAAACCAATTAAACAGAACCTTAAGGAAAAAACAGTGGAAAGTGAAGTTCTGAGGCCAATATGAGAATCCAACTGTGATGATAACCAAGTGAACAGTAGTGACATCAAACTTCATCTGGGGGGCACAGTTGTCATTTTGGGCATCATCAACACTTCTTCATAAACAATGAATAGAATAATATTATTCATTGCTTAATAAGCTCGTAACCACCAGGCTTTCTAATCATCTCACCCATACAAACTGGAAAACAAGGGCTTCGGGAGGGTCAAATCAAATACATGCATGAAATGGGCTGGGCAGAGCTGAATTCTTTAATCAGACCAATTGTGACAGAAGCCAACCCCAATACTGAAGTGTGGTGAGTTTGAGTACTTTGCTTAAAATGGCGAAATTGCAAGGCTGGTATGATTCCCCCCCCCCCCCGAAAAAAAAATAAAATAAATTAAGGCCTCACAACTTGTTCATAAAGCTTGGTGTTTGATATAGAACACGAAGAGAAGCTATCAGATGAGCCCATGCCCAGTTGCCCAAGGTGATTTTTAATATTGACTTGTTTGAGTGAGAAATTAATTTAGGGTCTGTTTGGTTTACAGGAATAAGGGTCTGAAATCGGAATCTTATTCCTATTTCTGTTAGAATGGTATTCACCCATTTGAGGGAATAGCTATTCTTTGCCCCTCCCTTGGGAATGAAATTCCATTCCTGCTGATTTTAATTTCTATTTTCATTCCTGTCTGAACCAAACAGACTATGGAAAATGACCATTTCAATTTGGATCCCAGAGAATTTTGATTCCGATTACAATTACAAACCAAATGCATCCTTAAATTGTTGTGCCAACATGTCGCTTTTGAGAAAAGCCAATTATGTTAGCCCATGGAATCACACCTAGGTCAAGTAAATCCCAAAGGAGTCAACACCCAAATAGATAAGAGGTGAAAAAATCAGTAAGCAATACAGGCCTTTCATGGCAGATAAGTGGTTCTAATAAAAATTACCACTTGCAGCAGAAGTGACAGATGCAAGAACTGAAGCACTGATCATGGCCGGCCCCCGCTGCCCCGCACCCACTCTTGAGTCCTAAACTTGTCAGAGTTCTTCCTACCAGACTTATCCTTTTGGATCGGATCAGCCACTTGACCATAGCTGGTAAATGCATTATACGTGTATGGCATAAATATGATATGGACAATGTTTGTGTAAAGGGAAAACTTATGATCAATCAATCGATATCATAAAAGTGGTAATCAATCATATGGTTTTTCATCAAAATTCATGATATTTTTTTATTGCTTAAGGCCTTTCCGTCCCATGTTTTTCCAGCATCATAGGTTTTTCTTAAAAAAAAGTGTTTTAAGACTTGGTCTAGACCAGATGGTTGGACTGTGAAAATCAGGAATTGGCGACCTTTCCAAAGCTCAGTTATATGACAGTTTGGGCGGGTTGAATGGGCAAACTATCTGGTTAACCAGTAAAACCAAGGATCAAAATTTCGATATGGTTTTGGCGGCCTGTATATTATACATATTGGCGGATATGTATAATATCGGAGCCTTCCCAATACACCCCTACGTACAGGGGGTGTTTCGAGTCGATAAATGATTCAGGGGGTAGACCGGCCTTAAACCAGCCCCTCGAGCCAATTTCAAAAAGAATTAAAAAAAGAACACATAAAAAACGATACCAATACAGGCCAATACACTCTATCGGCATATTGCCCTATATCTATATTTTGAACCTTGAATAAACCAGGACCCATAGGGCATTCTAGTTTTTACTCCGGTCTAAATCTTAAACTTAAAATACTAGCTAGGGTTACACTATTGGGCCTGGCTTCCAGTCTGGACCCATATATCCCAACCCAAACCCGGTCATGTTGCACCCCTATATGGTGAAACATAGGAACATATTAATACATTCCGATTTAAAAAGCTCGAAGTAAAAAATTTGACATATTTTATATGTAAATATACATATGAGGTCAGCTACATGAATCCGTTCACCATTTGAATGTTCATTGTTAAGTTATGAACATTCAAATTATTTTCTGTAATTCAATTCATGTCTTTTTTGGTCTACACCTATCTCTTCTTCTAACTCTAGTTCATTCAATTTATGATGTAAAAATATGTAAATAATAATATATTAAATATATGTATATATATGTACTTTATAAAGATAAATGAAATTGAAATTCTAAATTATTTACATATGCATGTATATAAAAAATATAATACACAAATTATAGGTTAATTTGACAACCATGCTTGAGATAAATCTAGATGGGTTAATGAGGGCCAACCCAATGTTATGGCATGAATCTACAAGTGACTGACAAATGGACCCTAATCCAGAGAAAAGTGAGCGGGCTAGTTGAATGAATTGGGATCTTCTACCATAAAATACATTCCAACACTCTATCAATATGATCTGGCACCGCACATTTCACCTTGAGATTGGGCTACCATAAAAGTGAGACCTCCCATGTATGAGATGTGTGGTGTCAGATCATGTTGATAGGGTATTGTAACAGATTTTGTTGGTAGGTGATGCAGACTCTAGTTGAATACTTTTGTTAGAAAACAGGCTGGCAGCCTAGGTTGGGTTTGTGTCTGTCTCATGAAATGGGCATCCCAACTTGACAGTGATTATAAAGGTGGAATGTTACCTGGAGCAATATGGCCTTAATAAATATTTCTGCAGGAACAGGATTTTCAAGTAGGGTCGTTTAGAGTAGGGGTACAACTTGGGTGGGTTAGGGTTGGGATTCTGTTAAATTTTGAATTGGCCTGACCCAAAGCCCAAGCCCGAAGCAGTGTAAAATGTTTATTCAGGTCAATCCGAGTTGCACCCCTAGTTTAGAGAATCAGAGTAACACGATATGCCCCAAATCAGGCATATAATAATTACCTTGGCTTTTTTCAAAACTTTTGGTCTTAACATTAATGCTGTATTTGGAAAAGATGCAAATAAGTGTGAATGCAAATATGTAGAGTGTAAAACAGTTCATATGAATTGCAAAGTTGGGTTAGTTTTGCACTGACAAATTTATCTTCTTACCAAACAGACATTTAGTTGTAATGGATGCAAATATGAATTTCAATAAAGCATATGCTTTTTTATCAAAAGCTCACTTCAATGCAAGTTTACTTCTTTTTACTAATGTACTTTTACATCTTATTATGAATGTAAATATGCACTGGTTTGTCATTTGCCAATGCATAAATGTAATGTTGCCAAACACAGGCAAAAGTGAAACAGAGTGCAAATTTACCCTGAACCGGGATTTACACTCCATTTGCATCATTTCCAAACGCAGCCTAAACAACATTTAAACCAATGGCCCTAACACATTTTTTCGGAAAAAAAAAAACTAAAGGGAAATACTTTCACAAGGTTCAAAGTGTTGTCTTACAAAAAAAAGTGTTGATACACCCCTTCCACCAATCGGGGTATATTAATACTTTATTTGAACCACCAATCAGGGTATATTAACCTTGATTGCTGTATAGCTTGGGTTGAGACTGTGTAACCAATAATAACTAGCGGAAGAGCCTCTACTTCGCAAGGGCTGGAATGGAATTGTAACATTGTTATTTGCTACATTAAAAAAGACAATAGTTTTTAATAAGAAGCTTGCAATTATAAGTACTCAAGTCTTGAAACTCATATATATATATATATATATATATATATAACTAAAGAAAGTTGGAATAAAAAAATTAAGAATTATTTCAATATTCTAACAAAATTATATAATAACTTTAAAAGATTTATTAAAAACACAAAAAATACTTTAATATTTTTACAAAATATATCATGAAATTATGAACTAACAATTTAAATTATGTTTTTCCGGATAATCAATTTAAATGTTTTCTAATATTTAATAATATCTAATAACTTTAAATAAATAAAATTCAAATAATAAAAAAAATTAAATATAGATTATATAAATATTTAAATAACTAAATATTTATCATAACTAGATTTTAAATAGTTAAAATAAATAAATTATGTAATAAATTTACAAACTTTCTTCAAAGTATAAAAATAATTATAACATAATATTGAAATTAATAATAATTTAATATATTACAAAATTAATAATGTAATTATGTAATAATGGTATAAATTATGATTTTATGGATAATTAAATTCAATAAATAATTAATATTTTAAAATTTAAATATTTTACATATTATTTAAGTATTTAAATAACAAATTATTTAACATAAATAGATTTTAAATAGTTAAAATAAAGAAATTATATAATAAATTTAAAAAAATCTGAAAAGTAGAAAAATAATTATAACATAATATTGAAACTACTAATAATTTAATATTTTTACATAATCTCGTAAATAACTAATTTCACTTATATCAAGTAACAATTCGAGAAAATAATTTTAAACTCTTAATCTGTATTTATTATATAATTATATATACTAAAATTAATATTTATTGT